ACTATCTTTAGATCTATTATTGATCGTGTTTAAATACTGCTATGTTTGCAATAGTAGATATAATAGAGTAATAGTGATACATCAGAATGATGATGTATGTACGACTACGAGACTGTTTATTTCTCTTTGTTATCATCATTTTGCTGACACCACCATCTCGACTGAAATTTGTGATAGAGCCGAACCATTTTTTCTTTTGAATGCAACTTTTTGTTGTCTCTATATCGTATAATATGATGTTTGCCTCTAGAAAGGTATAATATTAAAATTATTTAATCGCAAAATTAATCGCAAAATGGTGATTGTAGACCCGCTTATTTAGAGGAGGGCAGAATGGTGTAGATAATGGGCTTTCTGCTAGTTATCACTCGACTATGATATTTGAAACGTTTAGGAAAGAGCCCGGCCATGAAAGTATGTAAAATGTCAATAGTACAAATGTATAAGCTTCGTTCGATGTATTTTGGACGCTGATTCCGAATTACCTGCTATAAATATAGGGTTGAAACGCTTGCCCGAAAAGTCATCGGCAAAAACTGTTTTGGTCACACGACAGGCTTGTAAAATACGAATTACGGTCATAGTGATCAGCTTCGGGGTCATGGTTGCTGGATAGGATTAGGGTTTATAAAACCATTTCATTCGGCTGCAAATCCACAAATTCATTTAAAATTTATTTTAAGTCACGTGATAGCACGCTGGTGAGTTAATTAGTAAACTTCTATTATGTACTTTCCTCAATCTTCAGTTGTTGATATTTCGTTTAAACATCGATTTTTCTAGCAATGTAGAATGGCAGACATGCGGAATCTTGAAACGAAGTTAATATTCCTACAAATCATCTCGCTATCTCTCTGTGGTAAGCTACGTGACGTACATGAGCTGCTATTTTACTTGTTTGTTTGTTTGTTTGTTTTTTGTAGTACCCGTCCAAATCTCGTATCGGAAACTGACAAAACTCATTTTTGAGTGTGAATACGGGTGGTACCTGCAATAGTGTTCATTAAGCATTTGGTGTTCTGTAAAACTGCAGTTACAATTGTGCTAGAGTATTTTTATTCTTTACGATCGATATCGGATTGGACTCCTTGCATACTACCAAAATTGTAAATCTCCAACTTTCTGCACAATGTACTGGAATGGTTTAAAAGAGAAAAAGGAAGAAAAAAAATTAATAAATAAAGAAAAAAAAGAAACGAAAAAAAGTATGTAACGTGATACCAAACCAATTATTGAGCGATGCCCGATGGTGACTGAGTTGTTGATTCCTGGGTTGTCCTGGGAGTCCTACTGTTTCCTCAGTCTTTGAATTAGTTTGTGTTCTTGTTCAGTTCTGTCCATATGTTATGATCAAAGTTTTGGGGTTCATGTTGTCCTGGCACTGAGTTCTGTCCATATGTTATGATCAAAGTTTTGGGGTTCATGTTGTCTTGTAATGATAATTTCTAAAGCGTGTAATATATGGGCTAGTGTGTTTTAACGAGTATAGGGTAGCATTTCATACAGAAACGGAGAACAGGAGGCGGCCCACGTGATTATAAGCAGGTGATACAGGAAGGTGAGAGATTGCAGGAGAGGGGACGATAATAAAATAAATGATTGGAGTTGTTTAGTAAAAGAAATAGATGTAAGGAATAATTAAAGGGCTAAATGGTGGGGCTAAGCTGTGCAAGAGTTGAGGTTTAACTGCCGCGATTGTAATAAGTTCTCCTTGGTGAGTAATTAAACGCTTAAATGATTCAGGCCGTAGGAAATCTGTGAGGTAAATTCCCAAGTAGAAATCAATTATTAAGATAAACGCTATGATGGGGTTGTGTGGCAGGTAAAAAGTTCGCAGGTAAAAAGTTGGCGGGCAATTTGGCCGGTATCCAATTTATGAAGAAGCCCAAAATATTAGGCTCTGGTGCAATGAAACGGTGGACATGAACATATGAAACAGGAATATCTGCAGTATAAGTTATATAAACTGGTGCTGGAAGGTGAGCAATACGGCGAATGAAAAACTTATATAGCCTTGTAAAAGATGGAAATGGATCGAAAGAATGTATGAAATGAAAGTACGCTGTGAGAATGAATGCATCTTAAGATAGCACAGTGTGAATCTGCACAATAAATTAAAGATACGTACCTGTATTCCCAAAGAGAGTTCCTTTGATAGATGTTTTATGGATAATAAGAATGCTGTGTGAAAATATGAATATACAGATATGAGTAATTCCAAAAATTATGCATCAAATGGTGCTGGAGGATAAGTTATCAAGTTATCCTGGAGTAGCATCTTATGATGATTGATGATTGATATGAACTGACACATAAGTTCAATTACTGGTTGACTGGATGACACTAATTGTGATAATGTAATAACATGATGAAGCCGCAATATTGGAACTTAAAATTGTGAGCAAAAGAGTTGTTTTAAAACAATGCTGGAATATTGAACAAATATACAAATATATGTATGAATGTGTTACCATGTGCCTTTAAAATTGAATCTGCACGAGTAAATCTGAGTTTGTATTCCCAGAGCGGGTTCTCAGGAAAGGTGGTTCAAACTTCAGAGATATTTAAAATAAATGTGTTAAAATGTGTAAAGAAAGATATGAATTATGATATCTAAGCAGCAGTTAGTGGTGTTGGAGGATAGGTTACCAAAATAATCAGGAGTAGCATCTTATAATGATTGATATGAACTGACACATAAGTGAAATGACTGGATGACTCGTAATATGATTTTGTAATGTTATGATGAAGCCGCAAGATTGAATTTTAAGGTTGTGAGTGATAGAGTTGTCTTAAAACAACAGATATTTGATTATGTTACCAAATCTTCAACGGGGTCTTTGTTGTCTCTGTCGTAGTAGTTCCATCAAGATGTCTGGTAGGACTCTTTCTTCGTTTTATTACGTCGTGTTACCATCCAAGATACTATCTAAGGTTGCCTCAAAACATAGTGCTAATACTTAGCCAAAATCGCTCTCCAGTAACGATCCATTTAGCCACTTATTGAACAGCAACTTTAACCTTGTTCCTTGGTATAGTCCATAATTATTTAAAAGAAATAATTAAGGGTCGACCGAGGCCGAGGGCAGGATTTGCGACCGAGACCGAGGGCGAGGAAATTTTGCTTTGATAAAACCGAGGCCGAGGACAACCGAGGTTTCATTTTGTTGGCCGAGGAAAAATCGCTATTCCTCGGTAAAACCGAGGCCGAAGACTCGGTCGACCCTTGGCACGTGAGGCACGTAAGGCACGTAAGGCACGTAAGGCACGTAAGGCACGTTCTCGTAAGGCACGTGCTCTATATGGAGGCAACGTCCGCTCCATTACCAACTTCAAACGGGGTCCCTCTGGCGCAGGCACCGGGCAAACAACGTGCTGCTTGAGCTGATGATTACTCGGCTAAGAGGAATGAGGATGGTTTGGCTTAGTGGACAATACCATCCCTCCAACGGTCTCTCCCCCGTCCCCACTCTGGGGCTAAGAATTATAAACAGAGTGCACGTTTGTGAGACTAAGAGTAAGGGGTTAAACTTTCTTTGATGATATGATGTTGTGTTTACCGTAGAGATGCTTTTACCCCGCATCTATGTGACAGAATGAATATTTTAATTCAATTTGTTTCAATCTACATAGCAGTTTTATAGAGTGTACAAGTTGACAAGTTATTTTAACATTTCCTGCTGTTAAAATTGTACGCCCGAAGCTCAAGATAACCCATACTATTCAGAAATGCAATTGCAATATTGTTAATGACAATGCTTCACAGGTGTCTTACTTCAGGTTTGAACTTTATTGAGATTTAACAGATACTCTCAAACTGAGAATGTTTATAGACTCAAGACCTGTTGTAATTGGTGCACTGAAAGACTAACAACCTTGAACATGCTACCATTCAGCAGAATACATATTTGCAACAACTTTTAGAAAAGTAAGGTGACCACATAATCATTTTTCAGGTGAATCGTGTTTTGGAGCTTTTGCAACTGACAGGAGGTCGGATCCACCTTCTACAGGAAATTTGGGATCTATCCCCTACACTTCTGATCAGGAGTGCTTTGATGCTTGCTTGGCTAAGAAAGGGTAAGTTAATGTCCGCAGTTTAATTGTATGTTTTTAATCGAATTTGGATACATCATTATTTTTTATCTTTAAATTGATTTCACTGATAATGGAAATAAGCTGACAAGGTTTTAAATACAACCTTTTCAGATGTGTAGCAGTTAATCGGTCCCCCTTAAATTGGGAGCAGAGTAAGAAAAACTGTTTCTTCATCCCAGCCGGCTATGAACTGAAAGAGGAGCAGGATTGGAGCTCAGCAAAGCGAACTTGCTGCGTGGCTCTGCCTTCAGATTGGTTAAAGGTTGAGACAGAATCCTCACTACCAGTTCCAGACAGCACGGCAATAAGTTTAAAGTGTGTGAAGCATCACGTGAATCTAGGGGGAAGAGACGCCACCTGCCGAGACGGGCAGATAGTCCCCGATGACAAATCTCCACTATGTACAAAACTAAGTAGGTTATTTAGCTACTAGTGTAACACCCGCCTATTATGTTTTTAAAAACGCATTAAATGTCCGTAGTTAAAACGGTGCGAAAGTATGAAATCGCTCAGTCCAGACAGACAGACACACATACAAATTTATTGAGATTATTAGTACATACTACATTAAGTAGGTATTATAGGCTTAGAAGGTTGGACTACTGGCAGCATTTCCAATGGGGAAAACATTGCCAATAATAAATGTGCTTAACTTCACAAGGGTGGGCGACAATTGACCCCCCCCACGACAATTGACCGGGGGTCAATTGTCGCGGTACCCTTCACAAAGCACTTCTTAAATATTTATTTTAAATTCATACTCCTATTATTAAGGGAGTTGTCACAAATGATGACTTCTTGGGGAGGGGCTTAAACAAAAGCTACCAGGCAAGGTTACGGGTAAATTTATCACAATTAGAGATGAACTTTCAGTTTGTTTTAGCTGATTTTTGAGCATCAATCTAATCAATTAACTCCTGTTAATTAAAGCATATGAGACAACACGAAATTAAAGAGGGTAATCAGTTTAGAATGAGGTATGTGGTAAATAGTTAGGGATGAAAGTATCAATTTTTGAGGCACTAAGTGTTCAAAAGGATTTCTCGACGGAATATGGTGCTTTTCCCCTGACTAAAATATGGAAAGGGGCTAAAAGTGACGGAGTTTGGAAGGAAGGTAGTATAAAACATACTAAAATCAAGATAACTTTAGATAGTTACTGATTTCGCCAAATGAACATACACGATATAGTTAAAACAACAGCGAATCTAGCACATAATATTCATTATTCACTAACCAGTAGGTATTTGTAGCACCCGAAGCACATTTAGCACTCCTAACCCTCTTTGAGTACTGTTCCAAGATGCCGTCCGAGTTCTTGCTTCCAGCTTCATCACAGAATAACGTCTTAATCTTGGAGATCTTATCAACATGTCCGGACTTTTGGAAGATCGATTTGCAGTCCGTCAAACTTTTATAGGAAGGGAAGAAGCAGACCAAGCCTCCAGGGACAACCTGGCAAAGGTCCAAGAGAATGTTCCCCACTTCTTGGAACGTTCCCGGCTTCTTCCTTCCTTCAAATGAGAAGTCCAGCTCCATATCTTTGCCGTGGGAGAGTGTTATCGGGAGAAGGTTCTGCGGAGGAATAACGTGACCACAGCTGAACAAGGTGACGTCACGTGAAGAGGAAGCGAGGAGCTGCTGCTGCACTTCACCCACAGGTTCCATGGTCCCACCAGCCAGCACAACAGATCTGCACTCCCGGAGGAGGGGTAAGAAGGGGTCTTCGCTGTTCAGAGAGATATAACGGACAAAGGAACCTTCAGCTTCACAGACCACGAGGACGCGTCCCGCAGAGTCAGCGTTTGTTAGAGCCGTGAATAATGATGAAATCTCCACAAGGACAGATGTAGAGTGAATTGTGACGTCAGTTGTTGGTTTGATGACGTCATCCTCGTAACCCTGGACTTTTTGAGCTAGGTGACTCTCACGGATGTACTTTACTAGATCGAAGAGGTTTATATCCGCTAAGTCGGATTTCGTCTGAAAGTCACCGATAGTAAGAAGATAAGTTCTAGGTGCCTTCTGAAAATGAATCTTCTTGAAAGATGATGCCAATAGACTGACACAGTGTATAACTTGCTTGCAGTGTAGGAGATTGATCGGCTTCAACCTAGCTTTTACCTTTCGGAGGTATACAGCAAGTTTGCGATGAGTAGTAATACAATCCTTTTCATGTATCGTTATAGAGTGAATTTCATTTATCGTTTCTATCAGATTATGCGCTTCGTCAATTATAACCACAGAATCTTTAAGCCTAATATTAAGAGATTTCCTCTGATCCCCGTGTAGTATCATGTTATACGGCAACATGACCACCTCCGCTTCCGGAACAGCTGCCCGAGTAGAATAATACGGACAAGTCTCCGCTTCCTTAGCTCCACCCACCAGCCCCTCTATGTCCTGTACCTCAGACAGGATGTGCGAGGAGTAATCTCGAACGTTCTGCGACGAGTAGAACTCGCACTTCCCTTTTTTCTTCTTCTTCTTTTCGTCGTCCTTATTTTCGTCGTCATCGCTCTTTTTGCGAGCTGAACTGCTTCGACGGAGTGAGATTGTTTGATTTGAGCTGACTTACGGAGGGGTTGATACAGAGATTAGTACGTGAGCCCAGGATTGTGACCTTTACTGAAGAGTAGGGGGACTTCTTTATTTCGTTTATAAACTGAGATAGCTGCTATTTTACTTATCATTGATCAAAAATATATCAATAATTTATCGTTATAGAAAATAGAAATAGTACCACTTAAACCCGGTGAAATGAGATAATAAAGTATTAAATATTTTTTACCAAAACCAAAAATTGGGTAGATTGGACCATCGACCGTATCTTCTTTTTCCAGACACAAAGGAAGTAGATACATTTAAGTTACCGTTCTCAAATTTATGCAAAATGATACCGGGAATGTAATCAATCGCTCGTTTTTCCCATTCATTCACGGCCTGCAAATTGTAACGAATTTAGGTTTACTACATCAATCAAACTCAGTAGAAATCTTTTTGAGCTGCTTTCGGGCTGATACTTAGTGTACTTCGGGATAAGAGCTGTAGGTAGTGTGTCCAATGAGGTGAAGTTTATCCAGTAGAAGTGTTGAAAGTATTATCTTTGAATTTACCACAAGGTGATCCTTTGGAAGCTTCTTGTGTCAGTAGATCGATTTTTTCAGACGGATCTGTCTGTACTATAGTACTATCTTTGCACTCTGCACTGCCAATGTCACGCAAAATATAGACCTTAGGTAATCGTGACGTCACGTTATCCATGACAGTTGGCACGAGTACTGAATCGACTGTGCCTGCAATCACGTCAGGCACGGATTATTAGCTAGGTACGGCTTTTGAAAAGACGAGCGCGACGTGCCTGAGGAGATGTCACGTATCCTTGGCACGCCCTATAAACACACTACGTACATTATATGGTCATTACATCTAACCGCACCATGACAACAGTCATGGTGATAACAGTCATGGTATGGTCGGGCCCTTAAATTCTGAGAATAAACTATGGGCGACATTCTTACAAGTCCTTTACAATTTTGCTAGAACACCTCTTCTTTAAATTCATGATATTCATTAATCGTTGCTCAGTAGTCATGAGTTAAACATACAATTAACAGGTTGGTTACCAGTCGAACGTGAGGTGGAAATAGAGTGGGATTTTGAGTCGACACCTTTAGAAATTAAAACTAATAGTGTGCTGGGGAGTGGCGATGAGGTGAGAGTGTTCTTCTACTCAGCTGGGGGAGAGAGAGCAGGAGCAGTCGACCTCTACTTCAGATCTACTCTAAACTACTGGCTCGACTGGTGCAGCACATCCAGGCCTAACCTCCCTGTCAATCCCCCCTCTCCTACTGACAAGGTGTGGCGTATCACTCTAACCAGAACTGCAGGTGTTAGACTAGTGATACACTGTAACGATGTGGAGGTGCTCAACACTCTGCTCTCAACGTGTAGTGACGGTGACTGGAGCACGTACTGGAACAGAGACGTGACAAAGATAAAGTTCCATTCCGACGACTCAGCATCTGATTACTACAGACCACAACCAGGTAACTAATAACAACAAGCATTGGTTTTAGTTAGGGCAAGAATTGCTGTTTATGGGTCAATCTGTGAACAAATTCGTAACAAAGGTTTGTCTACAGGAATGTGTTGTCCATAGTCCCAGGAACCACCAAAAAAAACCGTCCAGCTGAAACTTTTGGGCAAAAATTTTTATAGTCATTTTTCTCCAGGAACCCATACGCCCCACCCCTAATATTGGTTATTCGGCTCCCGAAGGTCTTGAGATCTCCATAGGGGGTGCAAAATGACCGCAATGGCCACATTATGGCAAGCGAATGATAGTTTCAGAACGATTGGGGCTTTATTTTTCGAAATAAATGGAATTTTTCGAAATTTTTCTCAATTTTATTGAAATTTCGAAAAAAAATACACCAAATTATTTTTAACGCTTATTTCAAATCTATTTCAAAACTCATCTACAAATAACAAATACAGTTAATCTAAAATGTGTATTCTCAGTAAATACCATGACAATTATTAATACACAGCTGTTAATATTAATCAAAATTCGCTTGTTCTTCAGGTTCATCATGTCTAATGTTTGTGCAGTTCATACCATGGCATCGTCCACAAGCTGGCAAACAATTGAAGCCATATTTCCTACATGAACATCTGAAAGTCAAACAGGCCTGTTCCACATCGACAGAACAGTTACAACATATAAGGTTCAAAATAGACTCTGGAGCAATTATAGCTTTTGTTGCAACTGGTTCGTAAGTGCCACCAGGAGCCAATTTCCAGCCGTAGTCAAGGGGATTCAATGCTGCATTCTACGTGTCTTGGTTGATAAATCGGGGAACTAATCCAGAATTTCAGCCGGTTAACTGGAAAGGATTAATGAAGTCGCTACATCGGCCTAACCTCAACAAAAGGTCTGATGTAGAATTTCTTCAGATTATTGACCAACCCCCAGACAGCTATTCGACGGTACATACTACTCTGGTTGAATGTCTTAAGTTATCCTACAGTGAGCCGATGATAATCACATTCGATTTGCCATTGTGGATTAAGGCCACCCGAATAGTACTGGAAACTGTGATGCCTATTGTGGTCAGGGTTGGGGGCTTCCACACTCTCAAGAGTTTTCTTGGCTGCATAGGCTATATAATGGCAGACTCGGGTTTAGAGGAGCTCATCAAACTCGTGTATCCTGGAGACGTCACGCATATATATCGGATGGAGGATCTTACTATAAAGCGTTGAGAGCCCACTTTCTGATCGACGCCGCTATTTGTTGTTTCATTATAGAGGAAGAAGTTTACAACGATGAACTAGTTGACTTTGAAGGTTACATCAACAAATGTGTGAACGAAAATCTAGGTGTTAACTTTAAGACTAAATCTATTCAGGATCTATCAGAGAAAATAACTCTGCTTCTAAAGAACCTGTTTTCCAACAGTAGAACAGCAGCTCTATGGGTTACTTACCACAACATGATAACACTAGTAAAGGACTTCATAAGAGCATAGAGGTTGCACGACTACAATATGCATTTATCAGCAGTAGCTTTGATGCTGCCCTACTTCGCAGCAGCTGGGAGGGGACAGTATGCAAAAGCTTTAAGACTGTATTTGGAGCAGGATGCTATTTTTAAAGTCAAGTATGGGGCGCTTTTAAAGACCTTTAAAGTAACTGGGCTTCACACGGTTTGTTACAACGACCACGAGTGGGCCGGGGTGTGGACTGACCTCTCCATAGAGCAGAGTCTTATGAGGGCAGCTAAATCTAGTGGTGGATTAACAAGTGGAAGGATGCGTAATCGTGAGTCCGCTCACAAGTTATGGGTGGCCACCCTGAATCAGATGGCTTTAATAAATCAGTCTTTTGGAGATTCATTAGCTAATTCATCGGAGCGAGGAGTACCAACTAAAGCTGCCATCCACTCAGATCTTACCAAGTCATCAATCAAGAAAAACTGTGATGTATTTGGAAAATTATTAACTTGGTTTAAAGTTACTGTCGACTTTACAGAATCCGAAGATAAGACTAAGTTAATATCTTTTTCGACAGGTCTTATATCACAGTCTGGGAACGATGAGGTGAATCCCGAGGAATGTTAGGCCGTTGGGCCGGGGCTGTCCTTCAACGTGAGCTAGATGGGTTGACATTCATCGATAAGATAAGTATCAAAGGTAAAGCAAAGAACTTGACACAACTAAGAAAGCAGGTTAAAGTGAATAATAAAAGCGTTGCAGTCGATCCGTTGAAGTGTTTTAACCGTCTAGTCTTGGTTGCTGATAGAGAGACTTCAATAGAGGAATGCCTAACATACGAGTTAACTGTGGTGCCGATGAGCTTATTTGATCAATATCAGATGATGAGGAAATCTAATAAGGCTGCTCTTGGTAGCTACCTCAAAAACATAAACCAATCTACACTTAAATCTTGCAGCTTCACGATCCCACTAGTCATTGATGGAGGTTGGCTTATTCACCAACTAAGCTCATTTAAAGGGTGTGACAATTATAGTGAGGTAGCAATGGAGTACTTGAAGCTTATCCCTAAAAATCGGGAAGTTACTGTGATTTTTGATGGATATGAGCCTTCTACTAAAGATCACGAGCACAAGAGGAGAGTAAAAGCGTTCTGTGCTAATATTGCTGTAAAGAAATCCACCTTTTGTACTGTCACCAAAACAACATTTCTGAGCAACAACAATAACAAAAAAGAACTGATCGACCTTATCTCAAGCATTTTTACTGTAAATGGTATTGAAGTGATCAGAGCTTGTAACGATGCTGATACTTTAATTGCAAAGAAAACATTGGAAATGTCATTCCTTGGCGATGTTGAATTGAAGGCAGAGGATACCGATATAGTTTGTCTATTAGTACATCATTTCAACAGTGACCATCACAATGATATGTATCTAACAACGAAGAGGGGTACATATTCAATCAAAGAAATATCAAGTCATCTAGATCATAAAGAAAACGAGATACTTCTTCTAATTCATAGTATTTCAGGTTGTGATAGCGTCAGTGGACTGTTTGGTTTTAGCAAGGTTAAAGTGCTAAAGAAAGCTCTCACCTTTGAGTCTCAATCCGAATAGGCTACCTCCAACAATAGCTTCAGCAACGGAGCACATCCTTAGAGCTTACTTACAGTACCATAACTGGGTCATGCTTAACGCTGACAGTCTGAATCCCCTTGACTACGGCTGGAAATTGGCTCCTGGTGGCACTTACGAACCAGTTGCAACAAAAGCTATAATTGCTCCAGAGTCTATTTTGAACCTTATATGTTGTAACTGTTCTGTCGATGTGGAACAGGCCTGTTTGACTTTCAGATGTTCATGTAGGAAATATGGCTTCAATTGTTTGCCAGCTTGTGGACGATGCCATGGTATGAACTGCACAAACATTAGACATGCTGAACCTGAAGAACAAGCGAATTTTGATTAATATTAACAGCTGTGTATTAATAATTGTCATGGTATTTACTGAGAATACACATTTTAGATTAATTGTATTTGTTATTTGTAGATGAGTTTTGAAATAGATTTGAAATAAACGTTAAAAATAATTTGGTGTATTTTTTTTCGAAATTTCAATAAAATTGAGAAAAATTTCGAAAAATTCCATTTATTTCGAAAAATAAAGCCCCAATCGTTCTGAAACTGTCATTCGCCTGCCATAATGTGGCCATTGCGGTCATTTTGCACCCCCTATGGAGATCTCAAGACCTTCGGGAGCCGAATAACCAATATTAGGGGTGGGGCGTATGGGTTCCTGGAGAAAAATGACTATAAAAATTTTTGCCCAAAAGTTTCAGCTGGACGGTTTTTTTTGGTGGTTCCTGGGACTATGGACAACACATTCCTGTAGACAAACCTTTGTTACGAGTTTGTTCACAGAAAAATCAACTCTTGCCCTAACTATTTAACAAACAATAACTTTAATTTATGAATAAGCCAACTTGCTGATTCTCTCGTAAGCTCGTGATTACGTGTTTTCTGTCTAAATTTCAAGTGTGTTATTTAGTTATTTAACATAAACACATATAATATAGGATATGGGATATAGGATAGTTAGCATATTGTTATTTATCAACTTAATAACACCAGAATGTGTGTGTGTCTGTGTGTCTGTCTGTCTGTCTGTGTGTGTGTAATTTCCGAACGGTTATACAAAAAAAACGGTAATAGTTACGGGACTGGTTTTTTCGGTATAGTGCTGACAAAACTCTGACGAAGCCCATAAGCAAATTTTATAAAAATCGGCCGCTGGTAAGTGGTTTAATTGATGATTTTGTTCCAGAAATGTGACATAAATGGATGGGAGAGAGAACGAGGAGGATAACATGTACCGTAATTAGTTTAGCCCCACGTAATATCAGAGCTCACTCTTGCGGCCGCTTTGTTTTAACTGTAGGGAGATTTCATACTTTCATAAGACAGCATTATGCGTGATATCAAATATATAATGCGGTTGTATACTTTTACATTGCAACTGTGACAGTAAATTCCCGGCCGAAGGCACGGGTTACACTAGTAACTTTTTTAAATTTTTTTAAAATTAAATACTTTTCAAATTTTACAGAGTACAGCAATAGATGAATATAAAATAGAATCGTTCAAAATATCGCCCCCATCTGTAAAATATGATGGGCACCCAAACACGGTAAACACATAGTGAACTACGTCCGCAGTAACTTGGACCCATTACATCGAATCAATCTAAATCCAAAAATTTATGAAAAACTATTTAATAACAAACAAATCCATGGTGAATAACTGTGGATATATTATAGTCAAAATTGGTATTTCAATACGTCAAATTCCAGATACATTAGATACAGGTCTGATATGGTCATTAATGTGTGAGAAGGTGTGCGGGTGAAGTGTGATATGATGTTGAAAGTATAGGAAGGTAGATAAAAAATTAATAAAACAAAAATAATAATAATATGGGGAGCAAAGAGACTAGGCTAGACTGTTGTTTCACTATCCAATAAACATTTCCATAGATGCTTAGTGACCTCAGCTTTGAAAAGACTAGTAGACACAATCTGTCTTACCTGTAAAGGGAGTCCATTCCACAGTATATGGGTTCTGTAGAAAAATGATTTTGCCAGTGGGCTATTTGAGGTACATATGGTGTGTGAATTCTGACTTAACTTAGGTAAAATTGATGACACAATAGACAAACTGTCGAGGTGGCAACGTCTTAGTCGAGAAGTGCCCTGATATAAAGAGAGATAGTGAGGCAGCGATACAGGAATTAAATTGTTCAGAACTTTGTGGAAAAAAATAAGATCATTCAAGTCAAACTTTTGAGACAAAGGGAGAATGTCGACAAGCTTGCACTTTTTGACATATTGCTCAGGTGGATAACTGCGGCCCTCTTCAGACAGAATCCATTTAATAGCTCTCTTTTGGAGACTTTCTAATTTATCACTAAGTGATTTATTACAAGGGCGCCAGATTATGGAACAATTTTCGAATTGGCTACGAACTAGGGAGAGGTAAAGCGCCCGGCGACGTTTCAGATCAATGACAATATGGCCATCTCTTCTGACCATACCAAGTTGTTGGCAGGCCTTAGTATAAATTCTGTCGCACTGACTATTCCAACTTAGCTTAGGAGTAACATCGACTCCAAGATCTTTTTCCAACTCTACATATACAAGAGGAGAGCCATCAAGATTATATGCGAATGGAGGAGATAAAGATGGTTTTCCTGAAACAATAAGCACTTTACATTTTGCTGGATGGAATCGCATTTTGTTTCTTAGTGCCCAGTCAGAGAGATAGTCTATATCCCTTTGCAAATTAGTATTATCAGAAGATGAATGTATTTTACGCCAGATTTTTGTATCATCGGCATACAAAACAATATCAGTATTATCCGAAAGGCCAAGAGGAATATCATTGATAAACAATACAAAAAGTAAGGGACCAAGGATAGAGCCCTGGGGGACACCAGAATTAACTGAGAGGGTAGATGACATCTCATTACCAATAACCACTCTTTGGTAACGGCCTTGAAGGTAATTGGTAAGAAATTTGAGAAGTGTACCATCAATGTTATATAAGGTCTTTAGCTTATGAAGAAGGATATCATGATTTACAGAATCAAATGCCTTAGCAAAATCAAAATACACAACATGATTGATAATGTTTTCGTTAAGAGACAATGCCAGGCTATCACAAAAGTCAACCATATTGGTTGTGCATGACTTGTGCTCTAGAAAACCATGCTGCCTGGGATCAAGAAGGGTACTTGTCAAAGAAAGCAGTTTACGTTTAACAATGCGCTCAAAAACTTTCATGACTAAACAAGTAAGGGATATTGGATAAAGTGGTCATAATTTTATCAATTACTGTTCTCTGAATGAGATAAAATCACATTCTTTCACTGAAGGCAGAGTTATAATCATATTGGCGATAGCGGATTGCAAAATAGCTAACTATAATTTAGAAATATTGCTTATTTTGTAATAGACATCATGGAGACAAGCCATTTTCAGCTACTAAAGGTTGAAACAATTATCATTTGAAAACTGATGTTTTTACAAAATATCTTGAACATAAGCAGTAAGGTATTTTACCAAACAAACTTAAAACTTTTTTGGTTCAATATTTATTTTGCAGAGTTTACACAATATGTGGATTGTGCAATGTGCATTGTGCTTCATAGTTTGTTGATGAGGCGAATTTTTAGCGTTAACCCTAATGACTGATAACAATTTGAATTAGTATTGGGCTTAGAACCAAGAAGGAAAATTTGTGGTACGAAATTACAAGAACCGTAAGAGTCTGGGTGGCAATAATTTCCTCGAAAAACCGTGGAATATGTGGACATTTAATTTTTCACATATTGTTTTAAATCTAATGTTACTGTAACACATCTGAACTGTACTTAAATACTTATATAATAACGATTTTCTTATCTTCCACTACGATTTGCCAGTTGTAATGTTATTAATTCCAGATCCGTGTGGAGAAGGAACATATCGGAATTATGCTATGAAAAGCTGTGAGACATGTGACGCTGGATTGACACCAAACTCTGACAAAACAGCCTGTGGTAAGATAACTTTAAAGCTTATTATATTTAATATTATTGTTATGTTTTAAATTTGAATTAACTGCGCTATAGAATGAAAACCGAGGATATTGGTACTCACAATAACTTCTTAATAAGGTAGTTCAAACGAATTGCTGCTTATAGATTTCCTAATTCTTCAGAGCCATGTCCAGCTGGAAACTACAAGAACATTGAGATGAACACATGTGAAGAATGTCCTGACAACACGATCAGTTCAGAAGGAGCAGCCTTGTGTACAACTTGTGAACTTGGCCAGGAACGAAACTCAGGGAGAACAAAATGTGGTAAGAATTGTTAACAAGAACCGAGCTGAGATGATTATATCTATATAGATGGGCAAAGATAGGCTGAGGGTTAAGACGGGATAAGGATAAGGCGCCAGATAGGGCTTAGAATCAAGAAGGCAAATTTGTGGTATGAAAAGACAAGAACCATAAGAGTCTGGGTGGTAATAACTCTATCAAAAAACCGTGGTTGTGTGGATATTTAATTTTTCACCTATTGGTTTAAATCTAATGTTATTGTAACACATCTGAAATGTACTTAAGTACTTATATAATAATAATAACGATTTTCTTATCTTCCACTACGATTTGCCAGTTGTAACGTTATAATTGTAGAGCCGTGTGGAGAAAAAACATATCGGAATGATGCTATGACAAGCTGTGAGACATGTGACGCTGGATTGACACCAAACTCTAACAAAACAGCCTGTGGTAAGATAACTTTAAAGCTTATATTTAATATTATTGTTGTGTTTTAAATTTTAATTAACTGTGCTATAGAGTATAGAATGAAAACCGAGGACATTGGTACTCACAATAACTTTTTAATAAGGTAGTCCAAACGAATTGCTGCTTAAAGATTTCCTAATTCTTCAGAGCTATGTGCAGCTGGAAGCTACAAGAACATTGAGATGAACACATGTGAAGAATGTCCTGATAACACGATCAGTTCAGAAGGAGCAGCCTTGTGTATAACTTGTGAACTTGGCCAGGAACGAAACTCAGGGAGAACAAAATGTGGTAAGAATTGTTAACATGAATCGAGCTGAGATGATTATTATATCTACATAGATGGGCAAAGATAGGATAAGGGTTAAGACGAGATAAGGATAAGGCGCCAGACAGGGCTTAGAATCAAGAAGGCAAATTTGTGGTACGAAAGGACAAGAACCATAAGAGTCTGGGTGGTAATAATTCTATCAAAAAACCGTGGTTGTGTGGATATTTAATTTTTCACACATTGTTTTAAATCTAATTTAATTGTAACACATCTGAAGTGTACTTATATAATAACGATTTTCTTATCTTCCACAACGATTTGCCAGTTGTAATAATATATAACGTTATAATTCCAGAGCCGTGTGGGGAAGGAACATATCGGAATGATGCTATGACAAGCTGTGAGACATGCGACGCTGGATGGACACCAAACACTAACAAAACTGCCTGTGGTAAGATAACTTTAAATCTTATA